GCTGTAAAGGGCTCCAGACCCACCACCAGATGCTAATTGCCCAACCCCAGGTAAAGCAGCTACCCTGAGGGAGCAGCTTTGCTCAGATCTCACCCTCTGTGTTCCACTTCAGTGGCTGGATGTGCTAGATTTCTGTGGTTTCCTGTAAGCTCTTGGTTGTTCACCACCAGTCCAGCTCTTACCCATATATGTTAAGAACCTTTTCTATCTTCACCTTCCAGACCTCCACTTGTCTAGCTCATCTCACATTTATGTAAATTTAAATTTGTAGAACAAATCCCTTATTTCCATTATAATCATCATGTCCCTGTTTCCCTGACTCAATACTGATACAGGAAGTTGGTTTTATGGATAGGGAAGCCAGACCTTACTATTCAGCAGTTTCCATATTTTTATGACTCCTATTCCAGATCCTTTTCCACTAGATTGCAGCATCTTTCCAACCTGACAAATTGTTATTTTTTTATAAGCACTTATTTTGGTGCATGTATTTTTTTATTTTAATCCCCACCTGATTATATTAATTTTGAGAGAGAGAGAGAGAGAGAGAGAGAGAGAGAGAGAGAGAGAGAGAGAGAGAGAGAGAGAAATAGGAGAGAAACATTACTTGCTGCCTCCCATATCACCTGACCAAGGATTGAACACAAAACCTTTTGGTGTACCAGACCACGCTCCAACCAACTGAGCCAACAGTCCAGGGTTGGATATATTTGTTTATTATTAGAACCAGCAAAGTGTCACTGTAAGCGCTAAACTAATGGACACTCTTAATGAAGCATTTATTATAGAGATAAAAATTTAATCATTTATCAAATAATTGAAGGGCTACAAAATAAAAAATAATTGTGTACATAATGGTAATTATAATCTATAAAATAATTTCTGAGCTACAAGAAGCTTTACAAATACTTTAATTTATAGGACAGAAAATGGAGATCCAGAGAAATGCAATAATGTGTCCATAAACATTCATATTATTAAAGATAGAAATGGGATTAGCAGAAACATTTTGGTAGGGCAATGTGTTATTGCATCACAGTATCTTCTACAGTAGTTATCAGGGAAGACTTCCTGGAATAAGAGAGGATCTTAAAGATTTAGAAGATGTGTCCAAAGCTGGATTCATATATAGGGTAAGGATATAGCATAAACAAAGGCATGGGTGGTTTAAGAAAATTGCAAGTAATTACTGAAACATAATCATAATGAAGGAGTGAATGGTTAGGTGAGGTTAGGGTAAGAGTTTGATAGCAACAGCTGACCTAGGTACTGACTAGGTCACAAAAAGTTTTAAATGACCTTAACATCTACATATTTTACATTGTTGAGATATATGAAGGAGAGCAGAGACCAAGTCAGATCGTCTTTTAGAAAAAACACCCCACAATAGTGTGGAAGATATATTTGAGAGCATCAAGACTGGAGGCAGGCAGGCTCTATAATAGTCTGAGTGTAAGATGATGAGGGCCTGGATAATACTACTTCTGTAGAAGAAGTACTTTCACACTGATTACATGTTATTTCACATGATATGTTCATCATGACACTCTTACATTATTGTTTTTTCTTACTTATATTCTTCTGGGTTCTACAGATTTTTTTTACCAGAGAAAACAATTTAAAATGTCCTTAGAGGATAAGAAGAAAATATGTGTATTACATGTACATTTGTAAGCATATCTATCCATTCACAACATTTATTTTTAATCAATATGTGTTTAGAGCATGAGAATTGTTTTTCAAATTAGATTTACAGACATGGCTACAGCTATAAGATGAGTTTTAAAATATAATTTTTGTTAATATAGAATATTAAAAGAATAAAACTCTCAAAGAACTTCTGAATTTAATTTGAAAGAGGAAAAATACAGAAAATGTGAAGATATAAAGCAAAAGCTTGGCACACATCCCTGAGTTTTGATTTCAGTTGAATTTGAGCAGGTCAATGACCCAAAGTCTCAGTTTCTTCATCTTTACAATGTGACTAGTAATGTGTCAAAAAGCCATTGTGAAGATTAAATGATCAAGTGCTAATAATCATTTCCTACGTTATAAAATACTACGTAAACGTCAGTATCCACACTTTAATAATTTACCTGAATAAGGCATCCTAATATGGAGAGAAAAACAACTAGCAGAGAAGAAGCACAGAAAGGCGAAGCCGGACATCTGGAGCTCTAACCTCAGGCCACACACGTTTGGCTGGGCCTGGGGAGCCGTCCTGGGCAGGAGTGAGTGATGATACAGGTGGAAAGGGAAGTCACGTGGGTGTAGCTTCCCTTTCCAAGCTTCTGTTTGGTTTTCTTAGCGTGCTTATTTTTACTAGGCTTATTTTAACTAGGCTTTCACCAGAGCAGGCATTATGTTTTAATGAGTTCTAATTTCCCATTTGATGCCAGCATGAATCTTAGTCCTTAATTACGTGAGAAGGCGATGATTAGAGACCTATTTTCTGCTGAGTCTTGGCAGGAAAGAGGACCAGAGCCATCAGCTTTATTACAGCAGCATAATAACGTGGAAACCACATGGAGCTAGGTAGGAGTCACACATCCCGTATGTGAGTCTTTCTCCCTCTTTGGGAAAAATATTGCATATTTCTGAACCTCAGCTTTTTTTTTTTTTTTTTTTTTTTTTTTTCATTAAGACCAGAGGTTTGGAATTAAGTTAAGTTCTTTCTGGGTTTATAGTGCTGATTCTCAAGGTTCATAATACTCTAGAGAAAGAAGAATGGGGACCCCAGAGTGTATGCCTGAGTCTAGCTGTGAAGACTTACTTTTTAAAAACTTTTTTATTAAATTTATTGTGGTGACATTGGTTAATAAAACAATATAGGTTTCAAGTGTACAATTCTAGAATACATAATCAGTATATTGCATTGTGTATTTACTTCCATCACTATATATTTGACCCCTTTTTCTACCTTCCACCCCTTTTTCTCTGATAACCACCACTGTTGTCTATATCTATTTTGTTTGTCTTGTTTGTTCATTTGTTACTTTTGGTTTTATTCCCCACATATAAGTGGAATTATATGGTTCTTGACTCCATCTTTTTTTTATAGAACTGCATTATACAGGTCAAGATCTGAATCACACAGTGTTGAAGGAATAGGAAATGCTTAACGAGAGCAGTTGGGGAGAACAGTGAGATACTCAAGGAGGAGGTAAATGTTCTTTCTTCATGCAGGTGCAAGAATGACATTTCTACCATATACCCTAAAGCCTACGTCAGATGCCCACAGTACTCCTAAACCTGCCCAAAGACTCTTTGTCCCTTTAATATCACACCAGCCTTTCAAGCACACACAACTATATGCATGCATACACACACACACACACACACACACACACACACACTCACGCGCACACAAGAACTGAGAGACATTTTGGAATGGAACCAAAGAAAATTCTTCAGGAGCCTAGAAAAAGACTGGACTAATTATTTGCTAGTCCCATTGTCAGGCTGTCTGACATTAGCCAAGTTTCATATAGTTTCAAGTTTCAGGTCAAAACATTTATATAAGAGTACCCCTGATGTTTTACAGTGGTTTTCCTTGTTATGAAAAATCTCAAAATATTGACCTCCTTGGAAACATTTCTTCTTACACTCCATTGCATTTTATAAATGTCTATTTGGTTTCTTGAGTTGCCATTATGTACACCATCCTTCCCTTCTCCCACGGGACTAAGAACTCTTTAGATCTATTTCTCATCCTCTGTTGATGTGGTGACATCATTACTGTTTGTTAAGAAAATGATTATTATGTCTCCAAGGACCCAACCCCATACATAATCCATTAAAACAAAATGTGACGTGTTCATGAAAATGTTATAGATTCAAAGTCCATGATATGTCTCAAAAAGACAAATAAGCAGGAGAAACAGTTGAATTAGGTGGTGGGGGCCACACAAGTTGGGAAAAAAAGCAGAAGGTTCTGGTTGCTTTCACTGCATTTTGTGTGCAGCGATGTGCCAACCCTTTAATGCACACAACTGTGTTTCCCTAACTGATGAAGCACAGCCACAAAACTGAGTTTACAATCACTGCAACTCTCATTTACTGATTACAAAACTAAGGCACACACAATTATTAACGACCTGCCATGTAGCAGGTATTGCAGAAATAGGTAGTGACATAAAAGTAACTAAAATATATTTCCATATGCTTAGTGATCTAGTTAGTCACAAAGCTGGACTATGAGGCCTGGGAGACTGTAGACCTCCATCACTAACCGCAAAATTGCTAGTACATAGCAGAGTTCCCAGAACACAGAGGTACCATAGTGAGTGTTTGTGAAATGAATTTACCATTTACTTGCCTAACTATTTTCAATGTGTGTGTGTGTGTTTTTTCCCCCAGTATATGAGCTGCTCATTGAAAAAAAGTCAGAGATGCTAACAATCAAGTATACAGATTGTCTATTTTCACATCTGCAATGATGAACTGTATATATTGATTTATTTTTGTCTTTTACATGATTTACCAAACAAATCTAAATTATGCTTCGCCTCAATTTTTATGCCAATTCGTGCAAAAATATAAAATTTTACTCCTCTTTATCAACTTCAAAATAATGTGAAAAAAATAATAATTTAAGAAAAGTAAATAAATTACGTATAGGTAGAAGATCTTTTGATAGAGGGAGTATTTATTTCAAGCCATTGAGTTTGAGTCAGTTCTCTGTCATCAGGTTTATGTGTATGAATCCATTGAACCTTTATAATAATAATAATAATAATAATAATAATAATAATTTTGTGCTTGACTTAGTTTCCTATCTTCAAAAATTTGAGCCAACATCAAGATAATCAGTCTGTGAGAACTTTTAAGAAGTCTTTATAGGACTTTCTTTTAAATCTCTGTCTAGAAAAATAACTTGATTTTTAATTTGAAGGATACCTTTCATCATTTCCCCCCACACACACACACACACTTTTCCACTAAAACTAGTTAATGGGCTTGGCCAAGGCAGTTAAGCACTACAGGGAGGGAGGACTTACCTATAGTTTTGCTTTTCATTTCCTATGTGGAATCTGTCATATTGCGAATAGGCCTGGTTTCCCTCCCAGTCCATTAACTGGATTCTGAGTGTGTACTGCCTCTGACTGGTCATGGCAAAAATAAACTCATTCCCCAGCCAGTATTCACCAGAGGGATTTCCAAAACCCTGCGGAAGAAGACAGAAATGCAGTTATTACTTCAGAGAGAAAGGTTTGTTTGTTTTTTATGTCCAGTACTTAACTATGCTCTAAATGAAAATTAACATTTTTAAGAGTAAAAATTTTTTTTCCACATTTTTACACATTGCTTTCAATTACTTACTCAATATTTCCCTGTTGTTTTCTTCCCTCCATTGAGGGTTTCATCTAATTCTTATTAGAGTAAAACCTTATATTCACATCTGTGTAGGTATTTTTTTGGATTAATCTGGTTAATAATTTTAATAAGTAAAAACTTCACTCCATAACTTGCTTTTGAAAATATTTATAAAATACTAGCTAATGAAATATTTTAACATAATTAAATATTTCCAATGAATTATGAGGGTACTGTTATAGAATTACTTAACACTTTTTATTTGTGTTTCATTATTATTCAGGAGTCAAATCATGCACATATAAAAAACAGATTATTAGACCTTTGACTTCTCTAGTTTTAACATTTTCATAAAATTTAATATTAAATTGCAGTTGACATATAATATTATATTAGTTTCAGGTGTATAATATAGTGATTAGACATTTATATACCTCCCAAAGTTTAATATCCATCTAACAACATATATACTTATTACAATATCATTTACTATATTACCTATCCTGTACTTTACATTCCCATGACTATTTTTATAACTGGCAACTTGTAATTCTTAATTCCTTCACCTTTTTCACCCCTCTCCCCCAACCCCTAACTCATCTGGCTACTATCAATTTATTCTCTGTATCTATGAGTTTGTTCCTATTTTGCTTGTCCATGTATTTTTCTTTTTAGAATCATGCATAAGTGAAATTATATGTATTTGTTGTTCTCTTTCTGATTTATTTCGGAAGAATATTTTCCAATGGTACATTCAATAGGGGGTTAATATCCAAAATATATAAGGAACTCATACAACTTAATACAATCTGATTAAAAACTGAGCCAAGGACCTGAATAGACATTTCTCCAAAGCGCACATACAGATGCCCAACAGACATATGAAAAGATGCTCCACATCACTAATCCTCAAAGAAATGCTAATTAAAATCACAAAGAGATACCACCTTATACTTGTTAGAATGGCTGTAATCAATAAACCAACAAACAATAAGCATTGGTGAGGATGTGGAGAAAAAGGACCCATTGTGCACTGTTAATGGAATTTTAAATTAGTGCAGCCAATTCCTAAAAAAAATTAAAAATAAAACTACCCTACAAACAATTCCATTTCTGAATATTTACCCAAAGAAATCCAAAACACTAATTTGAAAAGACATATGCACCCCTATGTCCATAACATTCACATTTTAAACAACAATTAGCAAATCTGTGAATCTAAGACTATAATCACTCACTGGCATGAGTTTGGATTTTGAGGCTGAAGATAGAATGTAAGAGCTAGTGAGTGAAGCTAGTGGCTGCTCTATACCTTAATCTCAATGCCTCTATTGTTTTCTTTAGGGCAATCCTGGTCATGGGTTGTTAAGTGTTCAAAACAATTTCTTTGTGAGGAATAAGAATGTTGTCCCCAAAAGAAAGCCAACTGTTAATGTAGGAGGTGTTAGTGATAGGAAAATAAAGAACCCTAAGTCTTCCTAGACTTTGTGTGTTCATAACTGTCTCAGAAAGAATTCCTCGGTAACATGTGAAGTTCAGTGTATTTCTTGACCTACATGTTAGTCTTCTGACCAGACGATGAGCTCCTTGAGGACAGAAGTTGTCTTGAATTTGTGAATCTTCATAGGCTAGTGAAATACTGGCAGGTCCAGACACACTATTAAAGCTATTCTCCAACTTAACTGAGTTTTTCATTAAATGAATGTCCTTCGTCAGAATGCACTGGGTATATGGTCCCCTGAAGACCGTCTATCTATTGCTCAGAGTAAAGATATAAAACCCACTGAGGTCAGTATTTCAGGGATTCCTTTCTTTGTCCTTAAGATGCATGAGTCACACTTGGCAAAAAGTTCCATAGGAACAGGAAGTATTAAAGCAAGCTAGGATTTGCTAAGCATTTTACACATACTAATGACAGTTGGTGCCACATACCAGTGAGAAGGGAGAAGCTTACCTTCTCCAATGAGTAAGCAAAACAGGAAGTTACATAGGACTGAAGTCAAAACATTAGTGCATTCTGAGTTGCAGCAGCCACTGGGAAGAAAAAGAAGCCCACTGGGATGTTCCTTGCATTTCCTCTCAGCTCAGACATGTCACAACCCTCTCTCTAGCCACTTGATGATTCCCTCTTCCAAGTAGTCAGAAAGAGATTCAGCAATTGCACTAAATGTGAACAAGAGGCTGGGAATGATGAGGTGTTAAGTTGTGGGTCACATATTTCCATGCTGTTGAAAGCACTGCATGGATAAGACTATCCCGCTCCCCCAGGAAAATGTGCAGAGACCTTGAGCCTCAGAAATGGACGGGCCTTAGCATCTTTCCTAAAGCCTCCACCCCCATCTTGGTATACAGGTTTGTATTTCCCTCTAAGTGAGATTAACATCTGTTCCTAAATGGTTGGCCTTTTTTTTCTCACTGAAAATAGAGAAAGAAGCAACTGAAAAGTAAGCAAAAAATGTGTTTTGAGATACCAAAATTCTATATCATGCACTCTCCTGAAAACTATCTATATGTGCTCTTATTGTGGGAGCAAAACCTTGGGCTATCATGAATCAAAATGGCTTTTAGGGAGAGAGAGAATGTAGGGAGGAAACCTTCTAATGGCTGAAAACGCAGTGATGCAAGAACAACTGTTCCATCATAAAGATGAAAAATAAATGAAAGAAGGGGAAATAGGTTCCCACATTAGTAAACTGTCTATTGGATAATTTATCAGGAAGACCACGAATCTGATGCCTAGCAACAAAGGCTTGGCTTTGACTAAACAACTTCTATTCCCCATCCCGTTCTAATTTGAAGACTTTCTGCCACATATGTGCTGTGGACTGTCCAATATTATTTCTGAGTCTGTTTCCTTCTGCAAAATATGGATAAAAATGTTATTTCCATATAGAATGTTTTAGAGGAAATGAAATAATAGACCTAAAGCATTTAGCTAAGTGTTGATACATGAGAAGCACTTAACAAAATTCTAGTTGTTGTTGGTATAGTTAAAGTATATATCACAATACAGAGTAAATTTCTGTTGACCTGCTCCTCTCACCATGAGATTGTGAGCTATTTAAGGGTGAGTAGGTTACTTTTTACTTTGTATGAGAAAGGGAACAAAAACAATAACCTAGATTCTTGACTTAGCCTAAAAATTAGTAAGGGGATACATAAAAAGTTTTTAGATGCTAGGAACTAATATATTCCTATGACAAGGACGAGTGATGGTTTATATATACTTTATACAAATGAGCACTAGCATTTTAATATGCAAATAAACCCAACAGTTTTACACTTTATTGCATACATAACAGCTTGCCACAGTTACTATATTTTACTCCAAATAGCCTGTAACATCCATAAAAATAAAAGCTTGGACTAAATTCAGTGCTGATATTGAAAAAGCAACAAGTCCTTAGTGAATAAACAATAGTAACAAACAGAATTTCTTCTTCTAAGAATGCAATAGCATATTCTTTCATTAAAAATACTAGAAGCCTGGTGCACGAAATTATGCTCGGGTAAGGTCTCTAGGCCGAGCCTGTGATCAGGGCCATCTTCCCCGGCTGCTGGCCCCACCTCTGCCTCCACCCACCCTGGTTCCCTGTTCGTCATCCAGCGATGAGAGCCTGATGACTGAGGGAAGGACCAAGAGGTTGGCCATTCCCATCTGCGTGCTGGCCCCACCTCTGCTGCCGGTTGTCCTCTGTGTTTGGAGTGACCAGCGTGGTGGGGACGTTGGCCTGGCACTGCCTGCATTCCCTGTCACTCAGGGTGGGTCCCCATTCGTCATGGGCGATCAGAGCCTGCTGGCCGGGGAAAGCGACCGAGAGGTGGTCAGTGCACCTCATAGCGACTGGTTGAGTGGTCTTTCTGGTCATTCTTCCATTACGGTCCCTGGGCTTTTATTATATAGGACTGCTTAGCTACACCAATCACAACCACATGAAAGATTTTTATAACATAATTCAGGTAGATTATTATTTCTATTTCTCCTTTAGCCCTTTAATAAAAGGCACTGGAATGCAATCTAAACTAATGCTAACTTAAAATTGGCCTTAAAACCACATTTTGCTTTAAAAAGGCACACAGAGGAAAGACTAATATTCATTAAGTTTTGCCAAAACTTGCAGAAATGTTCAGTTGTGGTGTGTATTTTTCCAAGTTAATAAAATAATTGTCTCAGAATTTTGTTTTGTCTGATAATGCTCATAGGAAGTGTTGACTTTTTTATAGATGAACAAAATTGAAACCAGACACAGTCCATGTATCCTAGGGGTTTCATCTCTTTTCATATAACTAATTAAAGAAAACAGATAAGAAGTCAAGGTTACTGAGCTGTGTTGTCCAAAGGTGCTTTAATTCACAATTCAATTGTGAGTTTCCTCTAACTGCTGAGACACTCAGCCCAAGAGAGATCAAAAGAATGATTTCTTTCCACATTTTAAATTTCTTATATTTTTTTCTCTTTTTAATGTGAAGATGTTAAAATGCAGCTGAAAATGTGCTCTTAATTTCTTTCCAGAAACAAAGAACTCCCAGAAGATATGGTGCTCAGGCTGAAATATTTATATTAATAGGAAGCTCTATTTATGGGGGTAATTTTTTTTTCTTCCAATACAAAGCCAGGTTGTCTCCAGGGCATTAGTCACTGCCTTCTATAAAGTTAGGCCACAAGGGTACTGTTTGGAACTCCTAGCTTGATTGGGCTTTATGTGCAAAAGTACTGCTGATAAGTGTTATTGCTGGAGGCCACTAAATAGTATCCTCATGGCTTGAAGGAGTTAATATAGTTCCCTAAGTGCCTCGTTAAAAGGGCCCACTCCAGACTTCCCTCTCCCCAAACATCTTTACAAATCCATAAACCAGAATTTGCTGAATCTCCTCATAAGGAAGTTTAAGTGAAAACAAACTCAGGTAAAAGATCTTTGCACGCCTAAGGCAAATGTTAAGAATGAAATAAGTAGTAAATCTTCCACGTTGAGAGGTTTTTAAAAAATATATAATATATAATATACATTTGTAATTTCATGTGTTGATATTACAAACATATTTTTTTTCTGGAAACCGTATGAGGCAAGAGACAGTCCTTAGGTACCAGCCAGTATGAAGGGAAGGAGAGAGGAGAGGCAGAAGAGAATGTGGGATGGAATTCTATTTCTACACTCAGAGCCAGAGAGAGAAGTGAAGCATCTTAGGCTATACTATGGTAGATGGGTGAAGACTGAGGAGGAAGTGGTGCATGCCAAGAAGTTTCTGTTTTCCTGAAGGATGTACTGCGCCCTCTGCTCCCATTCTGATGCAGGGAGCAGAGGTGAGTGTGATTGATAAGAACTGGCAGAAGGAGTCTACAGCCATTCTTTGTGGAGTCATGTTTTGTCTGTAGGTGAAAGAAAAGCTCTTGGGGGGGGGGGGGGAGGGGAGGAGGAGAGGGAACAACTGAAACACTTTCCACCATGTGTTTTGGTGAAAGTTAACCAAGTTGAATTCTTTCAATTAAAACAAAGAAAAAAAGAAGAAAGAAAAAAAAACAGTCGTCAGACTCATTTTTGCCAAAATGTTTCAGAATTTTGGAGCTTATCTCATTTTCTGCCCATGCAGAATTGACAGCTGATAAATTGTTCTAGTTTGAAAAATACATGATAGTCTTGCTATTTTAAAAAGGGAGAGGGGAAATGTCATAAAAGCTATGATTAGAAAATAATTCCTTTTCATTCCAATAATAAAAAAATTGCATGGCATAAAATGCATAAAATATATATTTGGTATATACTTACAAGACATAAATCAATACCAGACTTCATATGTCAGCCTCTCTTACTTACCGTGACTAGTTTGTTATGGCAGCAGATGCTTACAGCTAATAAGTCACTATTTTGGAAAGTCATCATGATGACAACTTTATATTCATTTTTCTATTATCATTAGTACTCATAATAATGTAATGTAGACTTGCCTAAATCTACATGTATAATTTGATTCTCAGATGACTTCTTCACATCCCGTTTTAGTCACAAAAATAAACATGAGTTAAGGTGGTTTGCAAGATAATATTTTTGGCAGAGTTAAGTAAAAATGTTGCAGTCTTTGGGTAATAAAAATAACTACATTCAGTGTACCAAGTATTTTATTTGCATCTAACCCTCACAACATCCCTTGTAAGGCAGGTGAGGTGTTATTTTTACCGAGAAAGTTAGGTATGTGTGAAATGATTTGCTAGAAATCACTTCATTGAAGACTCCAACAGTTACTATAATGCAAGGCCCTCCTTTCGAACTTAGGTTCCTTTTCCACCATATCTGTTTTTAGAATCAGAAAGAAACTGTGGAGCCCAACTGGAATGTCAACATTCCAGTCTCCACAACAACCCTGAAACATGGTGCTTTACCTTCCACTGGGTATTTCCACTGATGAGGGTCCTCACCGCTTAATAGGCAGCCCATTCGTGTTGGAAAAAACCAAACCATTAGAGAGTTTTGCTCAGATTTAGTCAAATTTGGCCTTTCTGTAATGTTCCTCCATTCATTATGCAGATTCCTTCCTTAGAACAATGTTGAAATGCAGAGTCTAAGTCAGGGAGTCTGGGGCAGAGCTTCAGATCCTGCATTTCCAATAACTCCCAGCCAGTGCTTGTGCTAGAATCCCTGGGTCACACTTTGGGTAGCAGGTTCCGGTACTACATACTTCTCTCCAGTCAACTAAACCACTATCAGTCCGGTTTATATCTTATTCTGTTTTCCTCCAGGTTAGACACCCAACTACTCACTTGCTCTACATATGTTTTCTAGCTACTGGCCATCCTGCCTGTACCCACTGGGATACGTTCACTTGTTCACTTGTGGAAATCTCCAGAATTGAAAGTATATTCTTGTTGTAACCAGACCATGGAAGACACCAGTTAGATTCTGAATTTTTGCAACTAGAAACTCTTACTAAATAGATTGTATACATAAGGCTTTGTTTTTGTTAGTAGCCACCAACATAAAATAAACTTATAACCAAGAAAATTTCTCCATATTTCAAATACTAGGTTCTTAAGCTAGTCACTTTTATTCCACAGTCTCACAGTTAATTTTGCATAATTTTGGTCTAAGTAAAAGATTTTACTTTTGTCTCTGTAGAATTCTGTTTTGTTGGCCTCTTACCTTTCTATATTGGATTTATTGTTTATATGAAGACATCAAGATTCCAATTTTGTGAAACTCCAAATGTTATTAACCCACATTCAGAGAGTTCACTGAATATCTGATAAAAATGTTGTACACACAGAGACACCACTTAAGACTTCCCTTTATTTATTAAAATCCTTTGTCGACTGTTAGTGAACCAACTACGAACCTACTGATGAATGAACTGTGATATTGACCAACCACAGTTTTCACACATTGTTTACAAGTCAAAACTTAGGGCATTTCTCTTCACCTTTTTCTTTACCTTCTTTCTGAGAGATGAATTTATCAAAAAATGGTCAAAAGAAGAATTATCCAGACTTAGATGTAAAAAAATAAAAATAAAAAGAGAATTAGTCCCTCAATGAAAATCCCCTTTTATTAATTTGCTTTGACATTATGTCAATAGATTTTAATACTTAATATTTTAGGCATTCGGTATGTGATTACTGGATTATGGATTATTTAATTATATTATCTTGGAAAAGTTCAACTTATTCATTTTCCTCTTAAAATAGAGACAGTATTAGCTGTAATTTGCTATAGTTTTGATATAAAAATTAGAAATGAATTTATTATAAGACTGGCACATGTTAAGCATGAAAGGTTAGCTGTGATGATGATAATGATGCCTGCTGTCATTATGGAGACCCCAATGAACCATGCCTCACAGTTCATACTCATGTGTACTCCTCTCACCTTGAGTGTGGACTAGCCCTGTCATCAACTTTAATCAAAAAAATAAAAATAAAAAGAGAAAGAAAAAGTGAAATGTAGAGAATGTGAAACCATGCTATTTCTGGGTCTAATAAACCTTTTAAAAGGCCTAGAAGCTTCTATTTTTGTGCTCAAGGAATGTCAACTGCCACATAAAACGTATGATGACCCTGGATTATGGTACATGGAGAAGTCTAACCTAGTCACTTGGAGGAGCTCTTAGTCAACAGCCAGCAGTAACGTGCCATCCCTGGGGTCCTCTAGTAGCTGTCCTGTTCCATAATCCATAGCCCAGCACAATCCCCTCGTCCTGGCTCATGTACTCAGCCTAGGTCTGAGTTCTAGCTTCCCCCACCCTCATTCAGCCAGGAACAAATCCAGGCAGTACATAACAGTTCACCAAAGAATTGCAGTAACACATTTTTCTTTCTAATGCACACATGGAAACAATTTACTGAAAATAATTTATGAGTATCTTGTGTTTAATGAAAATAATGTCACTAATTTATCATTTCATTCTTAAAATAACTAAAACACATCTAAAAATACAAGAGTTTATCACATAGTGTAGTAAGGATAACCTCATGATAAAACATCAAAAAACTACTAAATTCTTCCATCTTACCATTTTATATTCTTTCCAACCTCTTTGGAAATCCACACTTCCATCTTCACGATGCTGTATCACAGTCCAACCACCCCCATTAAGATCCATATTGCAAAATACCTGACAGAAAAGGGGAAAATAAAGTCAAGTAAAGAATTAGGTTTGTTTTAAATAAACATGTATCAGATGTGTTTTAAAATAGAAATAGGTTGGATAGGCCTATAGATAAAAAGAATAAAAATTACATACGTTGAAAAATGTTAATTTAGACATGATTGGTTATTCGTCTAATATTTGAGTTATTTCTGATTAAACTCTATCAAAGACACATTAGTCACTTATAAACATTTAAATCTGTCACCTGAAAATTGTGTTTCAGACTCTAAAAAAATTTAAAGATCTTTGTTTTAAATGGCAACAGGTACTTGTGTATGTTCAATTTTTAAAAAATATGACTAAAGTTTCTAAAAGTACAGACCATTTTCTTAACAAAATGTAAGACTTGAGATTTTTAAATCTTTAGTTAATTGAAATGGCAATATAATCATAATAAAGGTTTTAGAAAACCAAATTTAAAAAAATCATTTGTAGTTAACTGTTACATATTTCATTGCATATTAACTTTTATATACTTACATACTACAATAATTATTCTTGATGGTTCAGTGTTACATTAGAGGCAAACTTTTGTCCTTGGCATATGGAGAACACATTATTTGCATGAATTTTCATCATGAACATTAAGAAAAGAACATGACATACAGTATTCCTTCTGACTGCAACAAGCATTTCTTTCCCATGAGGAAAAGTTATCCGACTCTTTCAAAGAGTTATGCTTATTTCAATTATTCTAAATACAATAGTATTTATTTAGAAATTGATTCACTTTCCTCAGAGTCCACCCAAGGAGAGAAGCATATCTGTAATGGGATTATCTTTTGAGAGCAATCACTGTAATTGATGCAGCACGAATATGGCAGTTTGATTATTCAAGGGACCTGAGATGGGAAACACCATTCCCCTGGCAATTGACTTCTAAAGCATCGTGGAGGCTGGCTAAAGGTGTAGAAATGAGGCTACAGCAGCAGACAGGCTGTGTGGACATAGAGCTAAACTCTGATGAAGGGAAAAACTTCAAGGGTTTTCCCTGAGGCATTAAATGCGGGGCACAAATAGCTAAAGGCTAGTAAAACAATGGCAAAAACTGTCATTCAAAGGACAAATTATCCATGTACTTCTTCAGAGTGAAAGGAACTAAAAGATGCATACCTATTTGTGAGCATATAAACAGGTAAACTATTCTCCCGAGGGCTGGTCGGCCCTCTAATTTGACAACAGCCACCCATCAGTACATCTTCACAATCTCTAGGGACTGATTCACCTCCATGATTATAAATGTGAAATCTCCCACCCAAGTTCCCCCTTAACTAATTCCTAACCCTTCTGTACCTATTGATTGTCCTCAACATAGGCTGCAGATAGTATTTTGTCCTCCTTTAATTCTAATCCGTTCATTCACTTATTTTTCACTCAACACACATTTCTGGCATTGATTCTGTGTTACAAATGGATGTTAATGATAAATAAAATATGGGTCATACCCTGAAAAATGCCTGAAAGTTTCAATAGTGACTACTCCTATGGGATTAAGAAGATGCAGGAGTCTGCACTTTTCAACCCTTGTGACCTGCAGAATAATGAAGACAGTGATCCAAATGAGAAATTTAAGGAAGAGAGCTAACATATGAAAAAAGAAAATGGTCATGGTTTTAATCATGTAGAGTGTGAAGTAGTATAGACATCCAAAAGGGGGAGTTATTGATCAGTTAAAGATGATCTACTGAAGGTCTTCCAAGGATAGATGGATAAGAGACTAAGGGAATAAGAAAGGAATAGCCATTAACTATAGTATGCTTTTTAAGGGTCAGATAATTGAAACTCTTTACATGCATTTTCTAACTTATTTTACAACAATCCAATGATGTAGGTATGATTTATCCTGAGTTTAAAGCTAAAACCCAAAGCTTACGTACTTCAATAATTTACCAGTGGTTCTTAATAATAAGTGATGGATCTAAGATTTGAACCCCAAATCTACCTAATTCAAAATGTTATTGGGAGTAAAATGCTTGAAAATAATAGTTGATGGTTTAAAGGTGGGTTATCTAAAGAGGAAAAGAAAAAAAGTGGAAAGAGATATGTGTGGGGGAGGGGGAGGTAGGAGGATCCTAGAAAGGGCTATGCAGAGCAACTGATAGAGAGAAAATCCATTAATAGCCTTTAAGAGGACAGGGACTTCATTTTATTTGGTAACTACTGTTACCAGTTCCTAGAGCAGTGCCTAGCCCATAGTGTGTGCTAAATGAGTATTTGTTGAATAAATAGAGATGCAAGAAGAAAAAAAAGAAAAACTTTGTTAATGTAGTGCAGGACAAGAAGGGGATGAATTTTGAGTTGGGGAAGTGATCAATTTAATAAAATATTCCAGAGAAGTCAAGACAAACAAATATTAAGAAAATACACCCTCAAATTTAAAACGAAGGAGCTGTTAGTGACCTTGAAGAGAGAGTGTAGGATTCCTGTGACAGTGAAATCCAGATGGCACAGTTTAAAGAGAGAACAGGTAGTGATTCAAGACAAGTGGCCAAGGTGGAACTTTCCTGGTGCAATTTAAGAGTAAGTGATAATGTCAAGAATGCAGTTTGTTGGGGGAAGCTGATGGCACCTGTTTCTTAATTAAATTTTAGCTGGCTTGGTCTAGCTAATCCAGAACTTTTTAAATAGATTTTTATATTTTGATGGACATTGATTGCCTAAAATTTTGTCAAACTGTGTTTACAAACCTATAAAGTTCACTTATGTACTTGGGGGTAAGAAATAACTCCATTTATAAATATAGAGTGTGTAGAAGAAATTATCCTGTATAGTGTTTATTATCATTACCTGTTCTTAAAATTCTATGAAAAGTTTTAGAATCACTCAAAAAGTTTAGAAAAAGACAACTGGATGTCTTAAGTCACTGGATATCTTTAAACTGAAGATATCCAGTGACTTAAAAATGCTAAGATGTTTTGAGAATCATTCTTAGAGAAAAAGCCAGAGCAAGTCCGCTATGTGGGAGATGGAAGTTACTCAGGAAGATACTGTTTGGAAGCTGAAGTGCAGAGAAATGAGCAGGTTGAGCATATAGTCTATTATTCTTATTAGGGCTCAATAAAAGCAGACATACCAGGCCCCATTTGTTATTTATGGGCATAATAGAACTGAATAGCACTTTGGTCAGGGGATGGACTTGGGTACTAGATTACCCGTGTTCAAATCCCACCTCTATTTTCTCTCTCTTTTAGATATTTTGCAAGGACTAAATGAGTCAATGTATATGGAGTTTTTAGAATTGTGTTCAGTACACATTAGGCTTTGCATTACTCACATCTCTTGGATGTATGTAACATATAATATATATTTATATTATGCACTGTACACTTTGTACGTATCTCATATATTACAGTATAATTTACTATCCTATCTAATAAAAGAATAATATGCAAATTGACCATCACTTCAACACACAAGATGGCTGCCTCCATGTGGTCAAAGATGGCTGTCCCCATGTGATCAAAGATCCTGTGTCCATGTGGACATAAGATGGCCACCACAAGATGGCCATCAGGAGAGGGCAGTTGTGGGTGATAAGGCCAGCAGGGAAGGGCAATTGGGAGGGACCAAGCCTGCAAGGGAGGGCAGCTGGGAACAATCAAGCCTATAGGGGAGGGCATTTAGGGGTGACTAGGCCAGCAGAGGAGGGAAGTTGGGGGCAACCATGCCTGCAGGGAAGGACAGTTGTGGGGGACCCAGGCCTGCAGGGGAGAGCAGTTGGGGGGACCAGGCCTCCAGATGAGGGCAGTTAGGGGTGACCAGGTCTGCAAGGGAGGGCAGTTAAAGGCAAACAGGCTGGCAGGGGAGCAGTTAGGCATCAATCAGTCTGGCAGAGGAGTGGTTAGGGGTTGATCTGGCTGGCAGGCAGAAGCAGTTAGGAGCAATCAGGAAGGCAGGCAGGCAAGCAGATGGGAGCCAGTAGTCCTGGATTCTGAGAGGGATGTCCAACTGCCCATTTAGGCCTGATCCTGGTAGTTGGACATTCCTCAAGGGGTCCCAGGTTGGAAATGGTGCCGGCTGGGCTGAGGGATAACCCCTTCCCCACCCCACCCTACCCCGGTGCACGAATTTTTTGCTCTGGGCCGCTAGTTGTATATAACTGCATATAATGAATGTACAAAGCCAAAATACAGGGTGTCCAAAAAATGTATGTATACTTTAACAGCTGATAGCTCAATATTGAAAATAAACACTGCCTTTATAATTACTCAGAGTATATTTGTATATTTTTGGGACACCCTACATCTATAAATTTAGTAAACTGTCCTTAAGATTACAACTACCAGCTTTTTGTTAGTAATACTGGCATTACTAATCTTTGCACATGCTGCTTTTTATTATCATGCATATATTTAAAATGTTGGATTCACTCTAGGAAAAAAAGAGACCATGTTATTTCTAGTCAGAAGAAAAATAAAGAGCCTATGCTTAATAGATGAAGGAAATTAAAAAAAAAAAAAAAAAAAAAAGGTGGTTGGTTTCAAAAGATACATGAAAGGACTTGAAAAGTTCACTTGCCATTATCGTGTGGTCTGTGCTATCAATATCTTCCTGTAGACAAGGGCCTCCTACATTTACTATGCTGGTTGCATTTATTGATCATATGACTTGGGCTTAACTCTATCCAAGAAAAGATTGAACTGGCTCCCATCCCAGGCAAGGTCAAAGCTTTCAAGCATTAAATACCTTTTAACATAATACGGGGATTTAAACCCAAACAAAAAGGGGAAATTTGATTCACATAGTTCTTATTTTTTATGCTCCATACAAGTTGGAATGATTAGGCTTGTGGATGTTAATTATTTTTCCATAACCTTCAATAACAAAGGTTCAAAACATTTGTCATAGTCCTTTTCTAAGAATTAGGAAAATTGTGAACTCAGAAATAATTTTTTAATATTTTACAATAAGGAGAGTTATAATTTAATGTGTGTGTGTTTTTTTTAATGAAAGTAAGCAAGTAGGATAGGGCATTTGGTTTCAGAAACTTATGAAATGAAAGGAAAAAATGTATTTCCTGCTACTATGCATGGAAGAGAATTCAGAGAGGAAAATAATTACAAGCTATTAATAATATCTAAGTAAAAAATAATGTATATATAGTCTAATTCTCATTATCTATGTACTTGAAAAATTAAGTAGTCTTAGAAAACTGGCTTTGGGTTCCACATTATATTGTATTTGAAAATGTAACACTTTTCTAACCTTTGCAGACATCCTTTCTTGACAGGGAATGATGGTGGTCAAAACAGCAATTGCATAAAAATTCTCTATATTTGCAATTCTTACTCTGCCTAAAATAGTCCAATTTTATTGATTGGCCCATATCCCATATCATAGATATTTTAACTTTTTGTTTTCTTCTGTTTTTATATAACTTTGCCTTGAGTTTTTTGATCCTTGCTAGAGCTCCCATAAGCATCACAATGAGCAAAGATTTTCTAAATAAATTCAAAAGTATTACAAACTTTATATCTACAAAGCACAATCTACTTGGAAGGGTGAAGGTCCTACAGATGAATTTTATAAGCACTTTTTATAGAATTGAAATATACCAATGATTTATATAAAAATAGAAGAAAATGAATTATAGGGTGAATGGGTGGCTTATCAGAGCATAAATACATTTTACATAATTTTTTTATAATAAACTATTTTCTAAGTCACTCAGATAGGTTTAAACAGTGCAACTTTAGTCACCACTTAATAAATAATTATCATACTTGGTCCCTGTTAAGATGGCATCCTCAGAAATTGGTTCCTTTGTTCAATATTTAATAACTATGTGTTTGGGGCAAGTTATTTTTCTAAAATAGAGATAATGGGAGCATCTATTTCAAAGAGTTGTTGAGGAGTAAACATGTGACTACATATAAAGTTCTTAGATTATGACCTGGCAAAATATTAGCAACGAATACATTTGAACTACTGGGTTAATCGGCTCCTAAATGACATTGGGGGAATTCAAACCATATTTGTTCTTACAAGCTATGTGAATATAATAATGGATTTAAAACAAAATTTTTTACCTTCAAAAAGGTGCAGATATATCCACCTAATGTATCCATCTCTACATTAGTATATTACTATTTCTGAGAGGATGCATGATCAGAAAGGGAACAGATAAAACGAGGGAATGCACACCAAAGTCAAGAAGTTATCAAAATAACTGCTCAGTTATTCCTGCCTCACCATCTGCTCAGTTATCTCCTGCCTCACCATACACTGCCATTATTTCCATTAAAACTAAATCTGGTAACTTCCCTGACCAGAAGAAGAGAGAATGGCCATGGGGCCATTTCCAGGGTGATAAAATTTTGCTTGTTACAGGTTGCACTAATTTCACTGCTAATCTGTTCAGGCTACAATGTTTTCCTAGGCCCAAATCTCAGAAGTTTAATCCAGATATTTGACATTTGTGGATTTAATATTTCAGATTTTATTTATTCAGGAACTCTGAAGCTACATAATATGCAAAATTCATCACTCCTCAGAGGTGTCAATTTAAATCATGCAATCCTGGTGAAACCAACATAGGAGTCAGCCACTGAACTAATGAACTAGATCCTCCAAGCCACTCCTTTATATAAATAAGAAAAGCACATTTATTCAAGTTAATGAGTTATTATTCAAGTTTATGAATTTGAGCTGTTCAAGATAATGAGTTAAGATTGGCTATTTTTCTCCCACCCTAAAAAGGAGCATGGCTCTGCAAATGGCCTATGCACCATTTGTATTTCAAAATATTTTGAACTAGAATAGAGTTGTGGTTAGATATGAATTAAAGGTCGTGGAAAGATCAAAACTGTATTTGAAATGTCTGCACCATGGCCACATGGCGTACTGGTGATGGAGTGAAAAAATACTCTAAAAGTGTGCATGTTAATCTAAAAACATTAAAACTTATTTTATTTTTATATTCATATATATCATAGAGTCATTAGGAATCTAAAATGTGGGTTACAATATTTTTAGTTAACTGTATTGTCCTAATCAAGCTAACTTACAGCAGAGCTAACAATTTAGGAGTCCTTCCAGGTCTTGGGCGAGAGGTGAGTAGGTTTAGAGAGCATTATGTGAGCTACACTACTCCACCCCAAGACAGTTTCTGACCACTTTACATGCTCTGTGTACTGTGGCAGTGTGTACAGTGTTTACCTGCCTGTGTGTGTGTGTGTGTGTGTAAAATGGATTTAAGCTCCAGTATGCTTTTAAGAAAGCAGCAAGCACAGTAGGAAGGCTTCATGTCAAAGGATTTAAAAGGCTCCTCCTATAAGTTGCCCTTTCTCTTTACTCCTAGACTTGCCATTGTAGTGTCACAGCTTGTTTTTAAAAGGCCATGGAGCACTTGATTCAGTGACATCTTTCACTGAAGCCCAAAATGAAAAAAACAGGTGAAACCAAACTTCTCTGGTAGGTGGCCAGGTCGCAATGCATAGACCTGTGCCTGCCACCTCTTCTCCTTGTGCTTTCTCCCCCACCTCCAGCTATATACATGGCCTCTTTTTTGGGTAAAATTTTGTCCTAACAAAGGGAAAGAAAACAAACATTGAGCTAACTTAAACCATGAATTCTTATTGAAATCGGTAAAGAGAGAACACTGGGAGAGACTTTCTACTTTGACAATTGTGTGACATCTGACAAACTTTTTTAAGATTCATTTCCCTGGCCAATCAAAGGTACTGAACAACAAGAAAACTAAATAAGTTAGGCTTACTTATGATGCACTACATAGAAGTGTTAATGTTACAATCAGCAGGGCATTTATCCATTCATTCATTTCAGCACATTCTTCTTGAGGACCTATGATGTGCCAGAAACTATGCTGGGTCCCAGGAAATCAAAATAGCAAGGAACATACAGTGGAATACCACTTGGCCATAAAAAGAAGGGAATCTTGTCATTGGCAACAGTATGGATGGACCTTGAGGATATGATGCTAATAGAAATGTCAGACAGAGAAAGACAAATATCTTATGATTCCACTTATTTGTGGAATCTAAAATATAAAACAAATAAATAAAACTCATAGATATGAAAGACAGATTAGCTATCAGAGCGAATGAGGTCTGCAGGGTGGGCAAAATGGATGGAGGGGGTCTACCATATGGTGATGAGTAGACACTGCAGTGATAACTTATCGAATTATTGTGTTATACACCTGAAACTAATATAATGTTACATACCAATTGTACTTTAATTTTAAAAAAGGAAAATAAAAGATAAAAAGATACAATTCTTGGCCTTGTATAATTCTGGTATGAGAAAGTCATGCAGATTTGTCAGAGGGAATCAGGGAAGGCCTTCCAGGAGCATTTGCAGGCGCCCAGAGGAAATAGGGACATGGATGGCTTGGGGTCAAAGAGGAGAAAGTGTTCCATCCTTTGAAGCAGCATTGCTGGGGCAGCCTGGCTTCTTGGGCTCTAGGGCATCTAGCTGACACTTTATGTTGAAGAGCAGGGCTCTCCTCAAAGTTTTCTAAAACTCTGCTTCACACAGACGGTCTCTATCACTACACTTCCACAGCATAGTTATCTGTGTAATTGTCTGTCTCCGCCACACACTGGGAACTGTTTGTTCTGTAGTATGTCCCTGATCAGTGACTGGCGAATGAACAACTTACACTTAATATGTATTGAATGAAGGAATGGGTTGATGATTTAATGAATAAATAGGGAGAAAGAGTATATAAAAGAGAAACGACAGCAGGAAGATAATGTCTTCTTACTTCAAAGTTTACTTTGGATCCTGTTCAACATAGTGATGAGTCCTACCCTCCAACCCACTCTTTTCGGTACATACAAAAAGCTAATCCTTTTGTGTTTAAGATAGGATGTGTTTCTCTCACCCAGCAGAAGCAGTGATTTTGGAAATGTGTCCTAGCTCCCTCCATACAGTGTCTGGACTGTGGATGATGTGTGCCATCTGGGTTCTTGGGACTTTTTCCCTGCCCTTGAAGTATACATGACTTCAACATGCAATCGGAATAGGCAAGCATTTATAAGCAAAGGGACATCTCAGGAATGAGAAAGAATAAATAAGAAAACTTTGTGTAAAAGAAGCATGGTAGGTGTGGGAGTTAGGGGAGGTCTGTACAATAGATTTTCATATTTTATGGACCTGGGAAACAGAATATTTCTTGAGAGGAAAGAGTTCAGGCATATATATTTTCAGTTTAACAAGCTCACAAATCAATCTGATTATTCAGCAATTCAACTAGGTTCTGCTTTACATCTCATAAACAAACACTTCTGATTTTACCTTTTTGGGTTCTGGCATATTATTAATATAAATAGTGTAGATTCCACTTTTATTAAAACCAGCTTGATATACATCTGCACAGTCTCTAAATGGTTCCTCTTTTTTTCCTCCCTTTAGTAAAACTGCAAAAAAAAGAAAGATTGCAATATGTGAATAAAAATATCAGTACATTAGTACCTAAATGGACTTCAAATATAACTAAGCAAGTCTTCATTTCCTCCAAATGTCAATATTGCAGTGAATGAAAAATCTATCATCAAGACAATAATCGATTTTGAGTTGACTCACAAAATTACAAAGCTTAAGAAAAAAACCTGCAGAGCAATTTTCAACTGAATACTTATTTTATATTTTGTTTAATTCCTTAAGTTTTGTTTTTCTCTAAAGGTTTTCCAAAACATCAAGACAACTGGCATGATTATGTAATACCTCTAATCAGTAACAATTATGTCAGTATTCCTGCAAAATTTCTAAAAAGCTCTTACCTACATTTCATAGGAAAATTTTTTAAAGTGTGGAAGCATTTTTTGGAGGACAAAGAGATGAAGATAACAAATTCAAGCATAAAAATACAGTATATAGATTTAAAACACTAAAAGTAGGCAGGACTATTTCTTTCCATGGCTTTAAAATTGAAGAAGTTCTAGAATTTTTAATTAAAAAAGACAACTCTCAAAATAATTATATTCAGAAAGTAAAAAAGAATCTCTGACCTAATTGAACTATCTAGAAAGATGAGGAAACTGAATTTTGTTCTTTATTCAATGCCCTATCGTTAAACTATTAGGTAGATGATATACACAAAAATGAAAGTAAATAAGGTTTGAAATTAAATGATATAGGGGAAGAGCTCCAAAAAAGCTGTAAGTCCAGTGGAAAATAAATTTAATTGGAAATAGTCTTTACTGAGAACTTTATTTTATTTACTAAGTTCTTATTAATGAGATCAAACTATGAAAATTACTCATATTTAACAATATTTAGCTATGGGTAGTATATTTATAAAACATTTATGATGTAGTATTTCCTAATAAATATACATTGTTTTAATAATTGGTTTCATTAAACCTTTTCTAGAAGGTTAATAAGTTCATCATCTTGCTATCATTGTGTTATTTAATAAATATTTGGTTTCAGTCATTGAGTTGAAGTGTCTTTTATAATAAAAATATAAAAGGTAAACTATGAATCAGTGCTTTTAAATTCTTTATCAGTCTAAAATACTAGTCTGATTTAAACTTAAGATGCATGATGTTACTAATTTATAGGCAATTAAAAATAAACAGTCTAATCTTGGTAGAAAAAAAGGATTATCTCAATATAACTATTTCAAATTTTCAGAAAAACTTATATTTCAAGAAAATGAAATATCCATATCAGACATGTTGACATAACAAAATTTTAAAATTATTTAACAGTATCATGTTTTTTTTCTATAGCTCATGTCTAGACTAATGGTTTTACCTACTTGTATTAATAATTACATTTAAACACCACCATTACAATTGCAATATAAACACAGAATAAGTAATCACAGGATTGCAGGTTTATATGATAATGAAGAAGTATTGTACAGTATATATGCAAATAGAAACTGAAAAATAAATACTTACTCAAAAGCCATCTGAAATATCATTGGGCATGTCAATAAATTATATAAAGGTGTTATCATTGTCAAAAACATCAATGCAATTCACTTGTGCTTGCCTATTTTCAGCAAATGGACTATTATTTTCCACACCAAAAAAAGTTTTAAGTTTTAAATGCTTGATTTTCTTTTGTTGAAATGTGGAAATAACCAAATTAGATGCAAAAAAAAAGAGTTGAAAAAAAAAAAACCAACTAAATTTATGATCTCTTAAGAAGAACAGCACAGGAAGATGTGGTCAACAGAAAATCAATGGCAAACCCATTTTTCTTTTTGGGGTGAAAGATAGAGAAGGTCATTTATCTAAGGAGAAAATGCTTATTCTCATTGCATATACCACTTCCTGCCCTGCCTTAGTTCGTTATCTAGGGAGAGTACATTCCCTTCTCACTCCTGTGCCACCTCCACCCCCTTTTCTTTTCCTCTTCAGGAAGATGTGGGTAAAGAGGCTGCTGTGTGGGAAGAGGGAAGCTATTTCACACACATTTTAAACAACCAAGAAACACTGTTATCATCTTGTTTTTCTGCAAACTAATTGTATACAAATGATGTCCAAACCATGAACATCGTTATCATTATCGTTATCGTTATCATTGATACGAATGTTTACAACTGGAAAAAATGGAACAAGTAGTACTATGATTATAATATGGGATTCATTGCTATGGCAACATATCTAATACAGATATTTCATTTTCTTGAACTGTAATTTGGTATTTTGAAAAACTGAAACACTTGCAGTCTACCCTGAACAAATAGTCTTTCCTTCTAAGAAAATTAGATTGCTTGTTTTTAATTAGAGTATTAAAAAATTTTAGAGTACTAAAACATTTTAAATCGATTTAAAAGCTTCATTCACAGCTTACTTTTGATATTTATATTATATACTGTGGTTTGAAGAGGGCTCCTTTAGTAAGAGTAGACTGACCTTTAGAGTTTTTCTTCCTTTTTTTAATCTATAAAGTGGGGCAGTAATACATATTTCTGAGGCACAAGTATGAATTATGTAATAGAGCCAAGTGATTGAATTACAGTAAGTACTCAGGAAATAGCAGTTATTATTGTTGTTATTATGGTGTTATAATATTATGGAGGGGGGACTCCAGCAGGGCTGAGAGGACTGGATGCCACCATCTTGTGGCTATGGGTGCTACCATCTTTTGTGATGGAGTGAGGGTCAATTTGCATATTCTTTTTATTAGATAGGATAACATTACATTATTATTTTATCTTATGGAAGGATACTAGCAAGTTATGGAAAGCCAGCCTGTCTAGTTAATGAAATGGTGGATGCTATTGTTTCCTACTCTCAAATACAAATATTGTAGCTGACTAAATGCAGGGCAATTACAATTGACTGGTTATAGGTAGGATTAGAACTGGACTAATTGGCTGTGAAAATTGTCTAATTGGTGTATTTTATTCATTGACTACATCAGGTCATACCATCATTGCTTAAACCAAAAAAAAAAAAAAAAAAAAAAAAAAAAACACCCTAGGGAATCTGTATACTGTAAGCTTTATCTGAATAGTTAAGACTTCAGGATTATTTCAGATGAAATGATATAGGAGGTATATACCAATGTTGATTATAGAGGTTGTAATCTCATAATTTAAATTTACAAGACTATTTTCTTCATTAAGTACCAGAGAGTTCTAAAATTCAGTATTATGATTAGTTATTGTAAGAATGGACACACAATAAACTTTTTCAAACATAGAAAGACAAGAACAAAGATGAATTCCCTGAAGATTTCAAGTTGTCAGAGTTACGGATAAATTTTTACAGGAGATCTTGAAATTAAAAAAGATGGAAGATGCAACAAAAATAAATAAATAACACAAACGGAGCCACTTTAAAGTGGAGCCAGAGCTGCCATCCCAGAAGAACTGCTTTGCAGGTCTTACCGCTCCAATCTTTGGAATGTTAAAACAGGGAAAAATAACCTTTGGACTGGGCCTACAGTAACACCATGTCCCAAACACCTGTTTGTAAAGGTACCAAGAAATCAGATACTATGACTACTGGACTGATGGCTACCCAGGCTAAAAATTAAAAACACTGTTCAGAATTAGCGTCACTACGTTAGCTTATCTGCACCAAAAGAAAGGCCTTCCTTCTACTGACATAATTCCCCTTCCCTTTCTCATAAATTCCCTTTGCTTTGTCTTCTAATCAGAACACTGCTGGGTTTCTGCCCGAACCAATGCTTCCCAAAGAGCTGTTCTTTCTTGATTTCAAATAAATGCTGGTTGCCTCTCACTTTGGCCTTTTACTTTGAGGTTAACAAAGAATGTCTGGAGGAATGCATGGCAAATGACAAAAGGTAAATAGGGGAAACCTGATGGAAGAGGATGAAAGAAACACCAACTGGACAGAACCGGGGAGAGTGATCTGGAGACCTGATAGAGGTGTTCAGCTATCTGCCAGCCTGGTTAGACTTCTTTGTAATAATAAACCGGGTTAAAAGCAGGCATTAAAAAATCGATCTTTGAGCACCCGCCTGTGGACTAAAGGGTCCGGGGTTAAATTCCGGTCAAGGGCATATGCCCAGGTTTCAGGCTTGATTCTCAGTAGAGGGTGCCAATCAATGATTTTTCTGTCATCATTGATGTTTCTCTCTCTTCCTCTCACATATACTCTGAAAACAATAAAAGCATATTTAAAAAAAAATAGATCTTTGCATCTAAAAGGTCCTTCTTTGACCACACGCTCTTGTTGTTTCCTCTCCCACTCTTTAAATACTTCATGAGTTTGTCTTTTCTCTAAGTGGAGCCAAATCCCATCATTAATGCCAGTCCTTTCCTAGCCTCTGTTTTCTTTTTTCCTAACTTTGATCTTAGCTTTAAAATGTAAACAACAGTTGGGAAGAGATAACACCTGAAGGAGTAAGACATGTAGAAGAGCATATCTGAACTATATTTCAAGGGCCTGGTGTGCCAATTCAAAGACTTTACCTATACCACTATCAGCAAGTAAAATCATTCCTTTCATTTAGTCTTATCTGCACAGCAAAATGTTCATGATCTAAAGACACAAACAGATGCATGTCTGTCTTTCACCTGCCAACATTCAGACAATATGCAACCGGAGACCCCGACTCCAGCAGCTATTGACTTTATCAGGCTCTTCCTTTCATTTGTTCAAACAGTTTCAATCCAGATGGCATATCTGCCACCAGGCTGACTTCAGGGAAGAACCATGAAAGTTGAGGCAGAGGGTCACTTCAATTCAGATGAACCCTCAAGAGAAAACTTCCTGGAATGTAGAATTGATAGTTATGAGTCTCGGCAGACCTAGTAGAAAACACAGATGGCGATTAGCCTTGCTATCAGAGACCATGTAAAAAACCAAAGCCCTTGAATCCTACTCATTTCCTAATAAGCTGCTATAAAGAAATCGATTCTTCAAGCATTCCTTTTAAATCTTAGATGTAGCTCATCGTTCATATCTCTCTAGTATTTAGCAAACAT